AGATAATGAAGGTGAGTTGCTTATGGGCTGTATTTATTGATGATTCTTAAGAGTGTGAAAAAAGAAAACCACTTGATTTTGTTTGGGGGAGGCAGAATGTATCACACAATAACTTGGTTGAGTTTAACTTAATGTAGATATGTTTTGCATAATTTGAAATTAGGCTGAGGGCTGAGTGGGCACTTGGGTCACTGTGGGGTGACAGAGCCCTCACTAGACTTTTTGATCACTTGAGGTGGTTATGCCAAGCCCTATTCACATTTCACACTTGAGTTTAAATATTTGTGAAGGGAATATAAATCTTTGGTTTGAAGTAGATATAGCTCAAAGGTTCAGAACAGAGCATTTCAGCCTCAGGGTACCAGCTTAGCCTCTAGGGTGAGACCATATCTAAACCAGCCAAGTCTGCCTTGCGATGAGGTCGGAGGAGAAAAATTCATGTGATAAGTCAGATTACAATTGCCTTTTTTTGTTATTATTTTTTGAGTGACCACAATGTGTGGGACTTAGAAATATGGAATAATGATGGGCTTTGTTATTTCTTTTTGAGAAAAATCCAGTCACTTTTTTTTTTTTAACCTGAGAAAGATGAATCCTGAAGAAGGGGAGGTTGATCTCTGCCCTTTGAACTTAAAGCCTGTAAAGTAAAAAATAGTTTAAAACAATTATGTGTTTCCCCCACCCCACCCGTGCCTGATCCTGGATGGATACTGTTTTGTCTCCAGGCAGGGTGAAGACGCTATTTAGGAAAGCGCCTCCTCGTGGGGGTGGGCGTGGGGCTTGCTTCCTGTAAATCTGCATTCCCTGTGCCACTTGCTTCCTTCTCTGAGAGGTACTGGTGGCCAGGTGTTATGAATCCAGGTCAAGATGAAGAAAACGCACTTTTGTCGCTTCTTCAGGCATGTAGCAGACCCAGCCGGGTCTCAGGTATTCCAGATATGAGCGATGTGCTGATTGCGCAAGGCTGGAAGCATTGCTCACTCGGAGATACCGAGGCCTGCCTGCCCCGAGCCCTTTGTTCTCCTGGTTGAAAGCAGTTAATTAGCAACTGTCTCCATAGCAACTCCCACATAGTCCAAAAACATTGTCTAGTTTTTCAGTTTAGCTTATCACACTGTTTACCTGAAGGGCTTTTCACTGCTCTGAGTCTCATTTGAGTTGGCGGAGTGCCTGTTGGGGAAGTGAATTGTCAAGATAGAAAAAACACCATGGTAGCAAGAAGCGGAGGAGACATCTCCCTACCCAGTCCGACCCCGGCCCAGGATTCTGGGAAAACAGAAGTTGCGCCTGCCTAACATTTTCACCTGTATTTTTTTTGTTTTGTTTTGTCACAAAACTGCCATTCTCTCCACCAAGCCCTGAATTGTGAGGATTTCCCCCCTCCTTCCCCGAGAGGCTTTCTAAGCTCTTTAATATTCCGTTTATAGTACATTTCCATGATTAGTCATCTCCAAACCCCGAGTGTTCTCAGCCCCTGTACATTCGAGGAAATTTTACTTCCCTGAGGGTCTTGGCATTTCCAAAGGCCCTTGGATGAAGGATTATGAGTCTGAATGTGAATTAGTCACAGCAGCTTTGTTTTTAGGCATAATGAGGAAGAGCGTTTTCTTGGTTTAAGTTGATTGTGTATGAGAAAAAGGCAACTTCAGGTGGCTTGTTGGTAAAATAGGAAGGGAAACTATAGCTTTTTTATAAGCCAGGCAACCAAGATAATAATAATAATTTTCATAGTTTTCATTGATTAAGTGCAAGCTGTGTGGCCCTCCCTGCTGGCTGTGTGGCTCATGGTGCCAGCTGTCTGGGCCTCTGTGCTGGGATGCTTAGGAGCTTTTATCTCCTATCTGCCACGGGAAGACGGGAGGCAAGAGGAAAAGAAGTCTGCATTTCCTGAGTGCCTACCATGTTTCAGTAGCTGAGCCAGCCTTTCACAAAACGAGGTCTCCTGTATCCTTTACCACAGATCTGCTAAAGACGTCCTCTAAAGTGTTTTAAAGATGGGAAACTGGGGTTCCAAGGAGTCGTTGCTTGCCCAAGGTTGTAGAATGATAATCTTGACCTGTTGCCTTATAGGGCACGGTCACTTGTCCTGAAGCAGCGTTGTGCATTTGGTGGTGGGGTTAGGTGGTGTGTATTGCAGATTGCGGGGCTCTGGGAGACTTTTGCCAAAGGGGTTAGTGAGAATGGTGGTGTACATGTGTAATCAGATCCCTAAGTTTGTCTCGGGAAATCATGAAGCCTAGCTATTTTGTGATCATTTCTTAGGTACAGTGATAAACAGTATAATTTAATTTTGAGGCATGTGCACCAGAACAAATGTAATTCTCTTCGAAGTATTATCTTGGAAAGACTGTGCTTTGTGATGTTTCCGTTCTTCAGACCTTTTTAAGGAACCTTTTGGGGGTAACTGCCTTCCCACCTTGTAAGATATGTCTTTGAATGAATTCAGCAGACCATTGTTGAGCATTTAACTCCCCTTAATATGAGCAGAAAAGTACGGCTTTTCCTTCGTGGTGATTACTTGGACCTAGCATGGGTTCAATAAGAAAAAGTTACCCCAGGCTAGCTTCTTTTCTTTGAGAACCTTATTAAAGGCTGAGTGCCGTTGCTCACACCTGTAATCCCAGCACTTTGGGAGGCTGAGGCAGGTGGGTCACAAGGTCAGGAGTTTGAGACCTGCCTGGCCAGCATGGTGAGACCCCCATCTCCACTAAAAAAACCACAAAAAATTAACAGGGCATGGTGGCATATGCCTGTAGTCGCAACTACTTGGGAGGCTGAGGCAGGAGAATTGCTTGAACCCAGTAGGCAGGCAGAGGTCGCCATTGCACTCCAGCCTGGGCGACAGAGCAAGTCTCCGTCTCAAAAAAAAGAAAAGAAAACATTATTAATCTGTTAAGCAGAAAACTATAGTTGATACAATGCATAAACAAGAGCTTTGGTCTGCTTTTTAATCTTATCTGTGTTGTCAAAAATAGAGACATAGCCTGAGCTGAACGCAGGAACTATGGTTTGAACTGCACCTAAGGGTGACAAATAGGTGTTGTAATGGGAGATCAGTACTATGTGATTTTCGTTGACTGTGCGATCACAGTACGTTTGTGACGTGGCTTCTGCAGAAGTAAGTGTCATCTCTGGCTGTGCAGATAGAGGAGGATGCTCACCATGTTAGAGCACACTTGGGGCCAGCAGTTGTGTTTTCCTTCTTTTGCTCCTTCCCTCTCTCCACTATACTGTACAGCAGGTACCTTTCTATGTATTGGGATGCAAAGGTGGACAAAAGAAAGCCCCTTTAGCAAGAAGGTAAAAATTGTGGGGGCTTCTTCAGAGGGCAGCAACCCAGGTAATAAAGAGAAGAAACCACATATCAAACAAAATCATTCAAAGGATGGGGTGGGGGGAGGTGGTAGTATTTGCGCTGGTGTAGAAAAGACTCTTCAAAGACATAAGTTGTTTTAAAATATCCAAAAGATACTCCTGGATGAAGAAGCAGCACATTGTCCAGTAGACTCTAGCTGTAACGGAAGCATCTTAAAAGGCAGTCACATTTTGGCTCAATTATAAAAAGATATTCTTGAGTAGTCATGCAAAGGTGGACTGGGCTTCTGCTTTAGGATATAGTGAGAAGTATTGAAGCAGGGATCAAAAGACCATGTGGTGGCTTACTGTGAAGGTCAGCAATATAATGAATCCTTTAAAATCTCCAGTCATAAAAATTGTATCAGTGAGCAGGCATGTTGTCTTCCTGCAAGACACATGCTAGTAATGAAGGAAGATACACATCACAATTAATGTGCCTACATTATATTATTTATTTATCTCTTTTGGGGGTAACTGAATATAATCAATTTAGAGATGTTAGAACATTTGTAACTATAGTTTGTGAGATGGGCAATTTTAACCGCAGGAAGTCTTCAGTATCACAGCACAAGTTCAGTTCACTGTGGTTGTTATGTCATAATTATACGTTATGGATGTCTAATTCCTTTTCATATCTAGAAGTAAAGATCATGTAACATATCTGAGCCAACATCAAAGCAATATTTTTATAAAAATGATCTTTGATGTAGAACCATAAAATTAGGGCCTTAGGTCTACCCATGTTGAATTTGCCCTTTTTATTTGCAAAATGCTCTATCCCAAATTGCTATGAGTGATAGACATAATAGTGATCTTTTTGCTTTTGATAGTTAGGCATCATAGCTTTAAGACAACTCATGAAGTTTTAAAAATTGTGTCCATGTCTACGACATCATGTGTGTGTGATTAGATAAAGATTAGTAGGTAGAGAAACTACTTGAAGCATTGACTGATACACCTGGTACCTTCCAAAGAATTGATCTATTTAAATCAAGTTAGTTTTACAGCTCTATTTGTTGCTTCTCTAGATTGATTAGGTGGTTTTATGATGTTTCTTTTATTTTTTTCACTAGGAATTTTGCTAAGCGTTTTTAATGCCTGAATTGGCAAACTGGTTTATCAGTGTTGGAGGTCTGTGTGAGCTTTTCATTAGTCCATTTACAATGGCAGCACTTTTCGTGTTTGAATGTAGACAAACCTGACTCTGATATTTATGGAGCCTGAGGCAAAGAGTATCAGTGGAAGCTCATGTACTCTGTTGAAATATTTAAAAGTTATAATTCAACTTAATAAACTGTTAAATAAAATTTTCTCACCTCCTACTTTGACAAATTTACTTTACTAAAAACTTGAAACCCAGGTTTAAATTTAAAGGCCTGCCTCCTTTTCTTCCCGCTCCAGCTGCATCTTGTAACATGTGCATATGGACGCTACAGATTGCACAAGCAAACCCTCCTCTGCTTCCTCCTGTTAACAGCTGTCCCTGGGCCACTCTTTGCACTGAAGCGTTCTCATGCCAGTGACACAAGCTGCCCTTTTGAGAACAGACTCAGGGAAGAGGCCTGCACAGACCTTGGAAGTGGAAAGGGGTTCTTGGGCTGAGAATTCTGGAGTCTCGGGCCCTTAGTCAATGGTCTAAAAAGTGTGAGGGGGTTAGGTGAAGTGTCTTCTTGCCCTGGGAAAAGGAGGAGGATGGCTAGAAGAAGACCAGAACAAGACCCTCTAAAGTTTAGGGCCCAGGTCTAAGGACTGTACGGAATATGGATAAAAGCATGACTAACTTCCAGCTGCCTTTCATACTTCTGAGCTTGAAACTGAGTAGTTTCAACCAAATAGTTGAGTTGGCCTAAGGAGCTTTGCCATTTAACCTCGTAAATGATCTAAACATTAACATGGTCTGAGAGTTGAGTATAATATAAGTGAAATAGGTGATTATTGTCAGGTCAGGTTTGAATTCTCTCATATTTGAAATCCTTGCAACTGTGAAATTGCCTGTAAGAATTGAAGGCTGTGCTAAACAGTCAAAACAAATTGGTAGGATGGCTTCCGTAGGCAAAATCTTGGGGCTGTTTGGGGGAAAAATTATAGAATAAAACTAGTAGTAAGTGGGTTGCAGTGAGAATCAAATGTAATACACTTTTCTGGCTAAGCAAATTGCATTGCAGTTTGTTTTATTTTAAAAAATGATGTGAAAATACTGAGCATCACAGCACAGACAGAAATATTTCGCACCAGTTTTCACAATAAAATTCCCAAATGTGAAAGCTCTCCCTTTTTGCAAAGGTATTTGGAAGCAATAATGTTTGTGTGCATAGTTGAGTTGATCAGAGTATGAGGTGATTTTTCATCCCAGGAGGTGTTCAAGGAAAGTGCAGCTGGTCAACCTTTAGTGTTTTCTTTGCCACAGGGTATAGTTCTATTTCTGTCAGCTCAAATATAGTCTTTCAGGAAATGAATTATCCGTAGGATACCTTAAAATGTATTTGTGTTGTAACACAGGGTAGGAGGCAGTGTGCTCAATAGTTCAGTGTGGATACATGGGTTCTGAAATCACAGTCCTGGTAACCAAGTTCTGAAACTTAGTTTAGTGTGGATACGTAGGTTCTTAAATCACAGTCCTGGTAACCTTAAGCAAGTTACTGAACCTTCTCTAAGTTTCAGTTTTCTCATCAGTGAAGTGGGTTGAATAATAGTGCCTTTGTTAAAAGGTAGGTGTGAGGATTGAAAAGTACAGGTGAAGAGCTTAGCACGTAGTTAACATTCAATAAATGCAAACTATTAATCACTTAGCTCACTTGTATAAGGAAGGTCTATGAGTTTACATAAAGGTAACATTTTGTGGTAAGAGAATCTCTCCATGGTAACCTGTGTAAACTCCAGAGGGCTGCAGGGAAAATTACATTGTGGATGATTGGCCTTCTCCTGGAGTTTACCTATTAAGGTGAAGTAGGTCGTGCTTTGAAGTGCTTGGCAGTGGTTGCTGTGTCCCCGCCTTCCATCCTAGGTAGCAGATGGTAGTCCTCACTCGTCTCTGAAGGGTCCTAGTAGCCCGAGTCCTAGATGTGATTTGTTCCTTTTCCGCAAAGTGGTTTTGAAGGATATGGATTTTCCTCTTTGGGTATAAAACGTAAGAGGATGAATGAAAAATGGGAAGTTTTGTTTTTAAATGAATACAGTACACAGCCTCAGAAAACATGGGGAAAAGATGAGAAGGAAAATTATTTTTATTTCTAAATGCACTATTCATTCCACTTTCCAAGTAACTTGTGGCTGTCATTGTTTTTAGTGATTTATGCTTAAATAGTCTTCCTTGGGAATAATCAAATACTGGTTTCAAATATGGACAGGGAAATTACAAGTCATAGTAGAGTCTTAAAAGAATGCTTAGAATGAACTTGGACGGGATGTGGAACAGGGCAGCAGACTTTCCACCAGGCGCTATTCCTGTGTTCTCAGTTCTACCCTGGAGCCTTCTCCAGTGGGGGCCCAAATGCACCGCCATGATGTAAGAGTCTCACCAACTACTTAGTTTCTAGTAGCCCTCTTCCCTAAGCCTTACTTTTTTTTCCCCCTGGCAAAAATTGAGACAATGGTAACCTCCAACGTGCAGAGGATCTCTGAGAATGAAATAAGAGGCACCTAGCAACTGCCTAGACACTACCAGGACGCCTGTGCCCTGCGCCCCCTCTTCCCCCGACATTTGTGGGAAGGTGGATGATTTCGCTAGACCCCAAGCCTCTCTTCTTTGAGACATTAGGGAAAAAGAAACCAGTGTGATTCGCAGAATTTCCTGACTGGGCACAGCTGCAACTTTTCTGCCTTTTCTCATCCCATAAACATACCTCAAAGTCATCAGTTATGTTTTCTTTCTCATTTTTGGTGTTGAAAAAATTAACCTTTCAGTTTTCTTGTCTGTAAAATGGGGAGAAGAATAGCTCCCATTTCGTAAGGTGGCTGTGAGAACGTGAGAAGACAGGTGACAGGCTGCATAATTCTCACAAATGCAGTTGGAGTCCCTAGAAGGGGAGGAGAGGAGCTGTGAAACCCTGTTTTTAATTGGAAATTTTCATCCTGAGCCTTAAGGAAAGGAATGAGTTCCATCCCAAAGTAGAAACCAAAAATGTTCTTACTGAAAATGGCATAAGCACTGGTTTTCTTTCATGAGTTTGGTCATTGTTAGAGTTAAGCCCTTCCCTACATGGCAAGTGTGCACACATCTGCAGACCCTGAGGACACCAGAGTGTCAGGCTTTGAAGGGAGTGCAGCAGACACTCAGTGATGGTGCCTCTCACAGTCTAGCTGTGGCCGCACCAGGTCCCATAAGTCAGTACCTTAGGATTTTGTGTCTTCAGCTTCCTGGTTCTTGTTCCTGATGAATTCCTGACCATCCCCTTTACATAGTGATAGAGCCTTTACTCTCCGCTTGGAGGGATATTGCATTTGGAAGATTCAAACCCATTGCTGTCCCCATTGACAGGGAGCATGTTAAGGGTAAGGCACTGCATTTCACTTATTGCTTGGCCCCCGTTTCTGAGGCTGGATGGGTATCTTGTAGGCATTCAAGAAATGCCAGTTGGAAGAATATCACTGATGTAATTGATGTCTCTGTGTGCACACCCCTAGATCTTCAAAGACCATGCTTCTTGGTCTAGCCATAGGAACTCTCCACCGCTGAGACACAGCCAGGACATGGGCCCAACCTTTCTTCACTTCCCTGGTAGTGTCCTTTTTAGAGGTAGGCATAAAAAGACAGTGCTGGCCCTCAAGCCTAAAGGAGGGGGCAAAATGCAGAGTCCTGTGCTTCGCCACTGGGGGCTGGCTAGGCCACCGCTAAGGTCTGTGGAGGCTTCTGTTCACAGGAAAGGTTGATGAAAACCCTTGGCTTCAGCTGAGCCAGAGGATCCAGGCTTTACCTTGCACGCCCCGAGCCCTATGCTTGGCAAGTCTGCCACATGGTTATAGAAAAGTTCCTGAGGCAGGAAGGAGGCTTCTCTGGACCAGCCGATGGGAAGTGGGTAAGGAGGTGTGGAGGAGGAAAGAAAGAAAACTCTTTCCCCATTCTTAAGTACCTAGGAACAGGTGTGAGCTGTTTTAGATGTGTAGGAGCTTGGGAAGTTGGGAAGCATCCAGATGTATGGATGCTGGAGCATTTTCTCCATGGGGGTCTAAGCCTGGGAAAATGGCCAGATTCTACTCAGAGACATTCTCCCATTTTCTCAAACTAGGGATGTGCTGGGAGAACTCTGGGCTTCTTGCCCACAGGACAGCCCAGAAGCTTTTTTCTTCCCCTGTCTTGCTGAGCCCTATTTTCCTCCCTCTGTACTTCCCACCTTAGTCTTTGGAGTGTCTTTTTAGACTCGGGATTTCTAGTGACTTGAATGTTCTGTGCTTTCTGCTATGAATGGGAGCTGTGCTGCACCCCTGGGTCTGGCAGTGTCCCTAGCAGTGGGATGCTGCCTAGAACTAGGGCTTTCATGCTGACAGCACAGTGACTGATGTCATCGTTGGGGAGTTCCTTCTGTGGTCACAGAGGTCTTGGTCTTTAATGCTGTATCCTCTCTGTCTCTGAGATAAATTCCTTTGGGCCGCTGACTCTTCCTCCTCTAGTGGCTGCTGGCAGTTAATACTCCTTTCCCTAGACTGGTGAGATAGTGATTTTTTTTTTTTTCCCCTAGACTGATGAGATGGTTGCTTTCATCTCAGCCTGTAGAGACTGGGAGTCATTTGGATGGAGGTGGCCAGAAGCCACTTGAATGTTCCATGGCTATAGAGGACATCGAGCATCCATTCTCTTTTTCTTACCAAATGCATACGGCCAGCTCTTTCCCTGGCTCATTGCATTGTTCAAGTGGGATTGACCTCATTTGCAACTCTGGAAGTAGACCTTGATTGACATAAGCCTAAAATACCTATGTCCACAGCGATTGATTGAGGGATGGAGCCTGACCAATCAGAGCCAGTGAGATAGAGGAGATATCTTTCTGGGGCTGCTGGGAAAGTAAAGCTTTCTTTCACTGAAGCTTTTGGAAGGGAATCACGTATCCTGTGGACGGTGTAGTGTGAGGACATGAGTTCTTTATGGTAGCAATTTTCTTTCATAGGAATCTTACACATGTGCAGGACTTGTCACTGGTTGGAACCAGTAAGTAACCTACTTGGAGGCAGACTGGTAATGATCCCATCTGAACTGTTGGAACAAGATTTCTTAGTTAAATAAGCCACTAAGCTCCCTTACCCCTCTTTTGCTTAAAAGCCAGTTTGATCATTGTTTCTTGAAACATAGGAACTTGATATGCAGACCTTCCTCTTGTGAATTTGTTGGGGACTTTTCCTACAAGGTCTTCTCCCAGGCCTATGTGAGGGCTAGGCGTCAGCATCTGGGGAGCTAGGGATCCTCATGCCAAGGGAGCATGGAAACGAGTCAGGGCCAGAGAGGGGTGTCTGTGGTCCCTGGGGCAAGGCAGCTTGAGGTGGGACCCAGAAGTCCAGGGAATCAGAGAGGAACAGTTGGTTGGAATGGAACAGAGGATCTGTGGGTTGGAATGGATCCGTGAGAGGTCTTAGGGGAGTGGCCTTGCCCACATTGGAGTGGCCCTGAATCCATTAAAGATCCCAGGATGGAGATGTAGGCTGTCAGTTATCATAGACTGTCTG